CCAGTGTCATGGGACACAGAACACTGGCTGGGGACTCCCGTAGTCGTTAAGCCTCAGTCTTATTGGATTTACCCCGGAAATGTTTACCCTTTTTATTGCCCTGTTGAGAAGAAGCTTTCCTACTTATCTTATCCCTATTTATTAAGGGAGTCCCTGAGGAGTCCAAACATACAATCAGGTGTGAGTGTAGTTGGGTGATAGAGAGAGAGCATAGAGACAGCGTTGAGGGAGAAAAAGAATAAGAGAATATAATACACAGTAGCTGAAGCGTGATTTTCTTCCCTTTTTATCCAAGAAAACGGACTCATGATGACATGAAATGGCATAAGAATCCGGAGTGGACCACTCTGTGCTCTCTGATTGCTTCTGTACTACCTGCATCCACTTCTCTTTGTTCCGCTCACCTTGACTCAGACTTATTACGGCGCCGATGAATACTCGTCAGGTTCTCTTATGATTTCTGACAGTTTTGAGGAGTTGCGTCTAGTGTGACTTTAAACTGTCAGCTAAACGCTGTCGCCTTTTTACACTGTTCCCCTTCTTCCCTCTGCGGGTCGTTGTGTCTTTACTTCCCCTCTACTTGTGTAATACTTGGTATTCAGAACATTCAGTCTGGATTGTAGCTCCGCAGCTTCACAGGAGACCTACTCAGAGACTGAGGAGAGCCCAGGTGTACTGATATAAAGTGTTCCCTCTTCCTTCATTTTTGAGGGGAGTGTCAGCTTGTCATACTTTGAGGAGAGTTCTACCCAATGGCTGTCTGGCATGCCCTTGACTTATCTGAGTCAGAGTGATACAGTTTAGTTGTATTAAATGTGTACAAGACAGCAAAGTTAAGAAAAACATACAGATGCAGGTGCCTGAAGCATCACACATTTTGTACAGTGTAGAAGACTTTTTTTTACTAGCGATACTGGCAGCATGGCTCCAAAGATGGCAGAGTCATTTTGTCAGATGGTGTGTTGGGCTACCATTGTGGTCCAGACTGAAATATCTCAACAACTTTTGGATGGAAGCCCTTGAAATTTTGTGCATGTATTAATGATTCCTAGAGAATGAATTCTACAGGTGTTGGTGATACCCTGGCCTTTCTCTTAACAACACCAGTTTGTTCACATCTTGTTTTGTACTGTCTTGTTTTGACAAATATTTGATGGATTAACATGGAATTTGGTACTGACATTCATGGTCTCCAGGACATGACTCCTGTCATCACAAAAAAGTAATCTTTTGACTTTTCCTGTGATGCAACCAGCAGAGTACCACTCAGCAGAGTTTTCACCTATCCAATGATATATCTCAACATCTACAAGATGGATTGGCACCAGTGTTGTAGAGACATTCATGGTCAGCAGTCTATGAATCAGGATGATTTCAGTGATAGCCTGGCTGTCCCTGGCTGTCTCACTTTAGCACCACCATAAGGTTTTGATGAGATGTCTAGACACCTATTGGCTGAATTATCCATTAAATTTGATTCAGACATTCATGTCCTCAGGAAGACATAACTGTAACAACTTTGGTGATCTTCTAACTTTTCATCTTGTGCCATCATCCTGTCAAATTTTTAATATGTCCAGCCTCACTTATAGTCGCAAATGTGAGCATGTTAACATGCTAAACCATGACAGTAAACATGGTAAACATTATACCTGTTAAACATCACCATATGAGCATCAATGGTGGATTTAACTAAGTACATTAATTCAAGTACTGTACTAAAGTGCACCTCAGATTTGTAGTTAAGAAAAAGAATTCAGTAAATATTCAACTATTCAGTTACATTTTCCACAACTGAGTTTTGATGAATATGAAAATTGGTATATTTTTAGAAGCTGGCCTATTTGAAGGCATATATTCACTAGCTGAGGTTACAACATGGATCTAATAGTCACTAGCTTTGGATGACTGCTATTTAACCTGCAGGAGACTCCTTCGCTGGCTGGTTACAAGGCCAAATTGACCATTAAGTCAATAAAAGACACTTCAACCATACTCTAACACCTACTCAGTAAGCTCGGATATGGTCTGTGGAGTAATGACTGGCTCCCCTCTGAGACTCGACTGTGTTTAAAACATTCTGAAGCCTCTCTGGAAAGCACTGATAGACATCCTGATCACTGAAGTGTAAAGAAACCAGATACAAGACCCCGCTGCTCCCACTGGGACCCGAGGAGGACTGTGCATGAGCTCTTTGTGTTACAGTTGTATGCTCACTGCCAGTAAGTTCCTCCTCAGCACTTCCTTTCACTCTGGCTTGAACAGTGGATCTTCCATTGAATGGGGAATAAAAAAATCCACCCTTGGAGTGACATTGTAAGCTTTTATTTTTCCGTGCATTTCAGGATTTGCAGGAGGCGAAGATGAAGTGTTGTAATTTACTTTTTGGTGTAGCCACTTCTCCACCTGTCCCAGCTAAAGTAGACAAGTTGGGGTGATTTAGCAAACGGGTGCTTGTTGCTTTCAGTCAGAGGAGGATGAAAGGGAATATAAATATAGCATTTTAGGAAACTTCACTGTGAACACTGAGGATTTTTGAGGTTGCAAAGACAAAATATTTTGTGGCTGCTTTGTATTATGAGCTATTGTTCTCACTTTAACTTGTACTGTATTTATATTACAATAGTTTACGTCCCTACTTCTGTAGTCCACTTCTTAAAAAAATGTATTCACTGTACATTACTGAAGCAATATCTGATCATCCTCATAACTCGCTCTATAGTTTAATGCCAAATTAAGGCTGCACAATATCTGCTGGATAATGGCCCATGGAGCAGAAATGATAGTTGGGTGTGACAACTGCCTAATTTTCTCAAGCACGGTGGTCATAGTAAGTGGCAACAAGTGAAGCCAATGCCTTAAGTGCCTTAAACCTTTCTAATGGCCAGCAGGGTGACCCGACTATATGTAAGCCTATGAGAAAATGACCCTACTTCTTGCTTGTTTTATTACATCAGTAAACCTTTTCCTAATGAGTTTATGGGCTCAAATACTAGTTTCAAGTCTTCTTCAATACAGCATGATGTTGATTTAGTAAATTATGGTCCCATGTAGAGTAAAATATAGATGATAAAGCAGGGCATGCCTTGGGGTCCGGCTACCTCTTGATTGGCAAAAAACTAACAAAACTAATGAGTGATGTCACAGTAGCTTTTGCTCTTATTACATACAGTTTATAGGTCATAGTGGAAGAAAACCAATGGAAAATTTGGGTTGCCTCATAACGTCATATTTGTTTATGCCGTTCTTCAGTCACTATCACCCGCTGAACAGGAGCAATAACACCGAAGTAATCACACGTTTGAATTCAACATCACCCCACGCACACAAATGTATGCTGCTCATCCACACTTTCACCCTCTTTCTTCCGACTGTGACGGAACCAACTTCACTGCTGAGTGATGATGAATGGCTCAAGGTTTTCTTTCATTCATAAGTGCAACATTTGTTGATGTTTTCAGGTGTAAGATTAACTTCACAGTTCACCTCAAGTCACAGAAGTTGTAAAAAGAAGGCAAAGCGATTGCACGGGGCCCAACATGTGCTGATGCTTCTCAGCCAAATCATGGAAATAATTTAGGACTCTATGATTTGGACTCTATGATTGCCTATACTGAAATGACAAATATATTGTGTTGCCTGGTCTTGCCTTAGACTTAATATGTGATGTTGTAGCAAAATCTATAAATGTCAGTAGGCCTTCATTCATATACACACACAACAGAGAGTGAAGCAGCTGGCAAAAGGCATCAAATAATAATGGAAAGGCAACAACACAAAAAGATGGTTGCTTGCACACACACACACACCCATTCTGATTGACCCCTAGGTGTAGTGTTTATCTTCATTCTGAGGGAAGCATACCATCTGTCACATTACCCATCTTCACTTGGCATATAACCCCCCTTCACAACATGACATTACATCAAAGAAAGGAGCTTGACTGGAGAGGGCAGATATATTCATTGGCATACAGACAGGCAATCACATAGTGCATGTTAAAGTGGAGCAACAAATTCAAGATGAAAGCAAAGTCCTATCTTTGGTCTCATCTGCCAACCTGGTATGGATTGGCTGGGGAAAGTGATTGGGCCTTCTTTTATAATTTAGTCTTCTCTTCAATCCTGGAACTTTGCTGTCACCCTCAAACAAAATCACACTGTTCACATGTTATGGAACATTAGTCTAAATCTATTTTATGTCAACACTTTTACCCTTAGATCACTCTGTGTGGATACAGTTTATATACTTTACAATATGAATTACCTGTAAGGGAGATTTTCATTTCCTTTTCTTTTTTTTGGGCATTTCCCTCCTTTGTAGTCCACTGAGCCAAGGACATTGACGCTGTAATTTTGCTGCAGTCAAAGAAACCTTTTCATAATGTCCTTTTCAGACTGCAAGAGAGTGAATCTATTACTGAGGGAGGTAAAGGAGGGAAAGGAGTGGCATAATGGGATGGTCACATCCCACTTACACAGCACACTCATTTTACGACAAACAGCACATTCACTGTGGATGGCAGACCCTGACGTGCCAGAGAGAGTTACTTTCTGATTAGTTAATTTTTAAAAAAGCTCTGTTTGCAGTCAAAACAAATGAGATTTTAGCAAAGATGCACAACAACACTTATCAGACTGTTTAGAAAATACAAGCTACGCATTAAAATGGCAGGTGTTTGCCGTGGTTTGATTACTCGATTGACCAGGGGAACACATGAGACAACACACATGTTTAAAACAGCCAGTCGTCCTCCTGGGGAAGAAAAGCAGTGTGATCAAAACCAAGATAACAGCTGGGACATCTTTTGAAGATGAGGCAGTGCAGTGAACCATCTGGATAATGTATTGCTAGACAAAATGACAAAAAAAGAAAAAATTATTGTCTGTCTGGATGCAGCTGCTGTGCATGGATCAGCTCGATACATCCAATGACTCTCTGAAATGAGGAGCTTCTTTCGGCCTGATATATTCATAAACATGTCTTTTCTTTCTCCACAGAGTGAAGTTGAAAGAGGGAGTGACGTTTCTCGGGGCTCGTCCCAGCAATCCTACTCAGTGGATAGTTAGCCAGGATGTGAGGAGTGAAGGCCACCGAGTGGTGACTCTCCACTGCCGCAGGAAGGAGTCCGGCTACGATCAGCAAAGGTCAGCAGATAAATTACCTCAATTACCTTAAGTTTTTGGAAGATTTTCCCATTGGTTATCTCTCCACAGTGGGATGAGAGTGATAAGATATGAAGTAAAACACAACATGACATATTCCTTACTACCTTATTAAGTTAATACAGCAAACATGCTAGCAATAACTTGCCTAATACTATGTCAGGCATAGGTCTGGAGGGGGTCATGCATTTGGCCTTGTGTGTGAGTGTGAATGTGTGTATCTGTCTGCCTGCAGCTAATCTCACATTCTACTGGACCAATCAGCTTAATATTCATACCGTTACTGACTGCTGGCTCCTCACTCCTCTTACACGGGAGGTAGGAGTCCTAAGTGATTAACAAAATAACGTAGCAGAGGCTAGCCCGAGAGCAAAAGGCAAAATAAGAAGCCTTACCATCTGTTGCAGGCCCCATGTTGGCCTTTGACGTGGCTTAAAAACTGACATCCAAATTTGGTCTCATTTTGAACCAAAGCATCTGAAGATTAATACACGTTATTTTATGATCCACTAAAGTAAGTCACGTTACAAGATGATGCCCCCTCCCCACCCAGCTTTGTTATCTTCACCGCCATCTTGACTGCAAGGGAGCCAGGAGGGACAATTTCACCAAGTGCAACTGCATTGAGTAGAGAGGCTTCAGTGAGCCCCACTGGCTGCGTTGCAGTAGGAACATGGCTGTCTGGCTGTTTGGATTTCTTTGTCTGCCCACTTGGTGGATGCAGGTCCAGCATTTACTCCTTTTAGCTCTATTTTGGTCTCCACCAACTCCTGAGGGAACTATAAGGAATGTTACCTGCTTCAATATATTCACCAACCAGCTAGCCTTATTTGTCTGGTATTTGGTGTGGGACAGGTAGCATGCAGTGAGTTTACAGAGGTTTTTTTTTTTTTCGTCAAAATAACAGACAGCTCCCACTGCAAATAACTTTGACAAGAGTGGTGAAGAAAAAATGAAACCAGTGAGCCTAAAGATGCTAAAATTCCCAGCAGAATTGAAGAAAACTGCAGAAACTGGGTGATAATTCTCTGTGGGTTTATCAGTACTAGTGACACTTCACACATTACTCATTGTCATTTTTTCCAGTATTAATATAACAACATAACTTATTGCAGCTTTGTTTGTGTATCTTTAATATTTCAATTGAAGACTTGTATATTCATCTGTTGTTTACTGATTTACTGATACTGATTCTCCTAAAGCCACTATTATCACATTGAGTTTACACAGCAGAGGTATTTCTCCTGCTAAAAAAAGTGTGTGCTCTTTCTAAAATATATTTTTTACAGATTAGATTTTAGACTTCATAACAGAATGAAGCCTTACTTGCATTTAACAGCTGCTACAAATTATCTTTCTCTCACTTTTGTCCTTCTGAAACATTGAGTCATCACTGAGGCTGCCGTTGCTAAATCTCCTGAAACTTTTTTTTACAGTCCTTTACATGTCCATCATTTCAGAAATTACTTTGGCTGATTGTTCACATTTTGCAAGAGATACACAGGCACTAGAATGTACAGTGTTAGTGGTTATTTAAGTGATGTTCCCGCTGCTGAAATGACACACTTGACATAAAGGCCATCGGATATGTCTGTGGAGACCTCTGTGGGGAGGGAGAAGTTAACACACCATTGCGGCGTCCCCTCTTTTCACTCTCTCTCTCTCTCTCTCTCTCTCTCTCTCTCTCTCTTCATCCCTCTCTTTTTTCATTTTTTACTTATTTTCTCCCCTGCCATATCCTCAATGTTGTTTTGGCCATTTCCTATCTGTATTCACGTCCTTAAACTAATCTGGCAGATAGGGAAGTGATTGCCAGCACTGGGAAAAAGGTTGCTGTGTTAATTAAGTGCTGATTGAAGGCCTTTGTGTGTTTTAATGGTTTTTCCTTCTCGGATCAGGAAGTAGTTTTAATAGATCTAACTTTCTAGTGACAGGTGTAATTTTATGGATTAGAGGCAGATTTGAGGCTGAGTAAAGCTCCATTTATGTTTGCTCTTTAGCTTTCGTTCCACTTAGCAATTTTTAAACCACTCCCTTAAGAAAACAGGACACTTGACATCGCAAACTTTATAATCAAAGTTGTGCGGGGGTTATTTAAGTGTAGAGCAGCCTGTGAAACATATGTAATTTAAATCTGTTAGTCCACTGATTTGTTTAGACATGCTGCTATTAGTGGATCACTACAAGGAATGATTATAGTGTAACTGCAATGCACACAGCGCTTTAAACAAAGATATATGTGCCTGCCTTTGAACGGCTATAAAATCAGAAGCAGATAATAAAGGCTTTCTTTAATAGACATCTCATACAGTCGTTTGTTGTGTGATACTGCACAGCTACATTGAGACCAGCAGCACAGTCATGCCGGTTGCTGATGGTTTCACTTAGATCTTGGTGGCATGTTTTTTTTTGTGTGTGTGTGTGTAAGTTTTTTCTTTTTTCTTATGTGGGCTTAATATTTTTTACTTCTCAAAGCACACAGTACAACTTTATTTGACTTTATTAACAGTCAGTTTCAAACAGGAGCTGCCCCAGGAGCTCAAAGTCGCCTCCGCAGTGAAACTACTTTTCAGACCTTCCATTCACTCATATGATAAGTTATGACAGCTCAGTCTTATAAACAGAAAGTTTTTGCCTGCCTGAAAATGTATAGGGGTGAAAAATGTGTTGATAATGACACCAACTGGTGCAAGGAACCTTTTGGAACTGAAGGAATTTTTATTATTTTGCTGAATGAATCACATTTTTGAGGGGCTAAAGGTGCTTTAAAACTTAAAAAATTAGAGGCGGTGAAAAAAATATTATTTTATGGGTCTCAGGTGTGACAAAATGGCTTAGTAGCACCCCCGACAAAACTTCAACAAAATAGCCCCTGTGGTATACTACCCCTAGATGTACAAAAATTTGGAGGCACATGCACATGTATGGGGGGGGGGGGGGGGGGGGTGTGTGCTCTCACCCAGCTGACATTGGGCGAGAGGCAGGGTACACCCCAGGTCACCAGACTATCACAGGGCTGAGACATAGGGACAGACAACCATTCACACTCACATTCACACCTATGGGCAATTTAGAGTCACCAATTATCCTATCCCCAACCTGCATGTCTTTGGACTGTGGGAGGAAGCCAGAGTACCTGAAGAAAACCCACGCTGACACTGGGGAGAACATGCAAACTTCACACAGAGGGGCTCCCTCCTGGAACTGAAGCAGGAACCCTCTTGCTGTGAGTTGACAGTGCTAACTACTACACCACCGTGCCACCCCACATGTAAATCACAAGCGGTATACCCTAAACCTAACAGGAAGTCAGCCATTTTAAATTAACTGGGCAATGCAAGAGTATTTTTGCCATTTAATCCTAGGACAGTGAAGCAATGACCCGCCCTACTCTCCCTATGTTAGGCAAGTTCTTTTTGCCTTTGTTGGTTGGAGTGGTCAGCTTTAGGCAAGTGCAGTGGGATTGAGAAGGGTTAGGGTAAGATTGGGTAAGGGTGGCTATTCCTTTGCTATCCTTGGGAATTCAAATTTGCTTACACAGGGTCATACTTTAATGAACTTCAAGATATTTCACCTGATGGACAACAAATTTTATCTGTGCCATCTAAAGACCTTTGAGATGAAAAGTTTGAGTTCTCGTCAAATGGTGTGGCCATCTTGGGGCATCAAATTTTTATAATTTGCCAGAAACAGGAAGTGGTTTACGACTCCATGGTAAATGATCCAATCTGCCCTGAACTTCATGTTTGGTAGGAGTCCCAGCTTGAAGACATCTACATGCCATTATTGAGTTAGTCATAGCACCACCTACAGGCAACAGGAAGTGACATGTTTTGTACTTTGATGTGCTTCTCTTAGCGTGTTCACCAGATTCAACTCCAAAGGTACTCAGAAAAGCCTAAAAACCTTGACAATGCTTTAATGTGAAGATTGCCAGTTTTTTGAAACAGTGATGCCGTGGCTGCACAGTAAATTTTGATGTTTCTACACAACACAGGAAGCTGTTGTAACTGGACTTTACATAGGGGCCTACTCGAATCTGCCCCAAATTTAACATGCCAGATAAGAGTCCAGGCCTGAGATTTCTCCACGCCTGACTCTTAGTGATAGCGCCACCTACTGAAAACAGGAAGTCAGCCTTATGTGGCAAAGATCATCCAATTTACAAGAAATTTAATCGCTGTGGTCTACACATGACATATAGCAACATGACATATAATTAGTGTGTGTTCTGTAGTGCCACATAGTGGACAGAGGAAGTGGTGCCCGATTTGCAATACATCAACACACTACATGCACTACATGCAGGAAACATCCAAGTCATGCACACAGCCAAGTCGACCAGTGACCCGCCAGCAACTCCAGCATGCCTGAAAGTTTAAGAGCCCATTCATTGCTACTTGGAGGAAATTATTTCTCTTATCAGATTTGTTGTTGCTGTATTTTACATATGATTTTATATGTTGGTTTTCTATAAGTTTAGCAAGAAGTCAGAATGCTGAGAGCCATCCTGGTACTCTTTGGCAGCTGGTGTCAGCAGTTTCTCTGGAAATGTAAATGGGACAAACAGTATGCATGAACATGTTTAAGGGTGGGTTTTTTTTTGTGGAATAAAATTTGCTTTTAAAATCCCAAAACGCTACTTGCTGATCTGAATATGTGAGGGGGCTGGCTGAGTTTGTCCAAGACGAATTCTTGGCCTTTAACAATAACTCTCCCGTGGAGGTAATATATTATGCCTGTGCGTGGCTGTAAGAGGAGCTGCAGCATCTTGAACAACATAAAAAGGGGAATTTCAGCAACTGCAGCAGCGAGCACCGACGCTTGGCAGCTGGCTCCTCCTCGCTTCCGGAGCCGTTCTACCCCTTTATATAGGTATTTTTCTCTCTGCTCTGTCTCACGACCTCACCTTCTCTCCCACACACACACACACACACACACAAACACACACACACACGTGTGCCGTTACAGTAGAAAAATCA